CGTTTTTGTTTCCTGATTTGGGTTTTATCCAAGTTCCATTTACGGCCTGTTCGCCTTTAAAAATGCTTTCATAATTTTCATTTTATGTCTCTTTGGAAAATCTCTTTCATTTTTCTTATTCAAAATTTTCCTACATTAGATTCTAACTCTTTTCTTCTTTCAACTTTTCATTGATGTCGCTCAACAAAATTCTAATTTATATTATCTCCATCTAGAACCTTCGTAATGTCGTAAAAACCCTTTAATTTACATATCCGAACTTTTCGAAGTTAGTGCATATAATCGGATTATTTTGAGACATTTGTATAATCTAATTACTACACTGTTTAAAATAATGACAACATTTTTTTTACATTCTTTACAATGTCATTATTGACTAAGATTCCTTTGCTACTAAAGCTCTTATTCTTTTCTTTATAAAGCATATGAATATTTTCTTTCAGATTCTCCCCTTGTGAGTTAAAATAATTTATAAGAGCCAGTTCCGGCCTAAAATGGAGTAGTATTGCCATATTTGGGCGAGACCTGCACAGTTCTCACTTTCTAAAGTGCAAAAATACAATATTAGTAAAATCATCATTATTTCTTCTTATTATTGATTTTTTACGCTAAGGACCTGTCTAGTACATTGTACAATGTATGTGCCAATTTTAGTCAAAATCGGTTGAATGGATTTCGAGTGAAAAGGTATCACACAGACGGACACACAGACATCCGCTGTTTTATATAGAGAGATGCTTTTAATTACTTTTCATACAATGTTACATTTTTATTATATAATTTTTTTATAGAATTTAGATAGTATTTGTATTTTCCATCTGGCAGTCATGTTTAATTTATTAGTTGATCCTGTTTGCTACCTTTTAACGATGTTTTGAACTTTAGATGCGTATATTTTTTTTATTTATCTTAATATATGTGTCTTTGTCATGTACAGGTGTCAGTAACACACAAAGCGACTTATAAGACGATTTTACAACAGGATCGTCTCACTATATATTTAGTCTTGTGGTTCTAATCGAGGCTAATCCTTGCCACTATTTTCTGGTGAGCTTGATGGATAGTTTACTCCTGAGCTCAATCAGAGAGAACCCAGAGATGAATCATCCCTTAGCATCCATTGTATTCAGTTTTGTTGATTTGAGACATGGATGTACGTCAGGCCAACAGAAGTTGTGTGCGATTGCGAACTAGCAGAGAAAGTAAATGTCGCTCTTCCTGGTGGCCAAGGTCGATAGGTGTAGTTAGCGTAGGCAGAGAAGAAGAATTTACCAAGCGAAGGTATCTAGGGAAGACTATGTTGGACATCTTAAGATTAAAAGGCGAAGTAGAAGAAAAAGCAGAAAGGTTATTTTTTACAGTTGTTGTTACTAAAAGCAAACTGAAATTTTACAGCGTTTTTGAAAATAAGAAAGAAAAGCAAGATTTAAAACGTAGTCAATTTTTATTTTTTTATTTTTCGCGATCCTTTATAATTTAACTCGTTTAGCAGGCTAATCTGGACAATTAAATGACAATTATGAGACATAACGAAGTTAAAATCTTCCCTTGTAATTCGATATATTGGTGTGTAAGAGAAGACACAAAGGGACTTTTCAAGTGCGGGAGGTAAAAGACGGAAGCATTATCTCAAATAAGATAGTAACTTCTGTGAGTAAAAACGAATCAGTAAACAAACAGCTTTCTAACAGACAGACCGGTAATCTTGGCAATAATACAATCAAATTACGACACTAGAAAGACAAATTGGAAAACTCCATCACAGGCAAAAAAAAAAAAACAAAAAAAAAACTTTTGTGCATAGGCCATCAATGAAATGATCGATGTACATTCGTATAAAGTTGGATGAGGATTCGACGGAAGGAAAACTATATGAGAGAATTTGTAAATATATTTACCTCGACATAACTTGCTGATGATCCAACGTCGTCAGAATAGTGATTTTATTTCACAAGAGCAAAATCTACATCAGCAAAATAATGTAATGCATGTTAAGTATTTCTTAAATTTGTATATATATATATATATATATATATATATATATATATATATGTGTGTGTGTGTGTGTGTGTGTGTATATTATATGAAATTTCTCTGATTTAACCAGTAGAGAAGACAATATTTATGAATAAAAATGACAATAGGAAATTTGATTACCAGTTTTCCTATTGTCATTTTTATTCATAAATATTGTCTTCTACTGGTTAAATCAGAGAAATTTTCATATTTGATTACCAGTTTTCCTATTGTCATTTTTTAATATATATAAATATATATATATATATATATATATATATATATATATATATTAAGCAATTTTGTTATATATATATATATCTATATAACACAGATTACTAAATAAACGATCAGACTCATCTCAAAATGCAGAATTTATATATATATATATCTATATAAATATATATATATTAATTTGTGTTATATATATATATATATATATATATATATATATATATATATATATATAGAGAGAGAGAGATAGTTAATGAAGTTATTTGGTAATCTGTATGGATAATTCCAAAGAGGATGTAATCCATAGAGCTCAATGTAAAAACAGAGCAAATATTAATTATATTAAGAAACAGACAACTTTAAAGGTTCAAGGTATTATAATTTATTTCCTTAGGACTGAGATTTTGGTCCTAATTCTTCATACAAAAATATTGGTGACTAATTTTTCCTTTGTCACCAATATTTCTCTCCCCCATCTCCTCCCCCCTCTCTTTTATATATATATATATATATATATATATATATATATATATATATATATATTTTGAATAATAATAATATCAAATATTAAAATTTTCCGACACACTGGATTGTATATTAATATTTTGATTTTGATTTATTATTTAAATTAGGTTCCTCGACCAGTTTCGGCCAGCATTGAGTAAATGACTGTTTCTGAAGGAATTGAACTTTATCTATAGTTTTCATTTGATTTTGTTATCGTTAATTTTGGTCAAGCGGCCTCTTTCAAGTTGTTTTTAAGATAATGGAAGATTCCTGAGTTTCAGAATTCCGATCTTGGTCATTTTGACAGTTTTATTGGCTGTTAGGAATCGGGTGTGTGCGTTAAGTGTATGTTATTTTTTAGCTTATTGGGAGTGTGTGTGATGTGCGTATGTATAGATATTTTGTGTGATGTGTGTATGCATATATATATATATATATATATATATATATATATATATATATATATATATATATATATTTTTGTGTGATGTGTTTATGTATATATATTTGTGTTTTATAAATGTGAGAACTCAAGCATGCCTGTCTTGTACGGGTGAGAAATGTGGGTAGGGCTTGATTTATGAGGTTATATATTAATTCTATGTTGTTAAATCTGTTGTTAAGCCTGTCTAGACGAAGTGTTTTTAGGCGCAAAATCCATTTGTCTTCATGTTCCTTTATTATTTTTCTAAGGTTATCGTTTCCGTCTATTTCTATTTTTTCAATTATAGTGAATTTTGCATGGCTTTTAAAATCATGTTTTTCTAGGCTGATATGTTCTACAAGTGATAATCTATCGTGGGGAGCCGACTTGATATGATTACGATGATTATTAATTCTGTAGTGAAAGGACCATTCAGATTTTCCCTCATACTGTTTCTGGTATAGTGTGCATTCTAATAGGTAAATTATGTTATGATTTATGCAGTTAACGGTGTGGTAGATTTTGAAAGTAGATTTAGTGACTGAGCTAGTGAAATAATTGGTATGGATAATATACCAATTTTATAAAAATCAAAAGAATGTTTGAAGTATATATATATATATATATATATATATATATATATAGGTAGCAATCCTTCCTTTATGCATGTTTCATTAAAAGCGACAGACAAGGTACTACGGTTAAGCTTTTTATTTAATTTTTCTTGTGTTTGAACAAGAGCGTTCATTTCTGGACAAAGGGTGTGTAAGAATCCATTTGGACAATTCTTACACACCCTTTGTCCAGAAAAAGAAAGCCCTTGTTTGAACACAAGAAAACATAAAATAAAAAGCTTAAGTTATCGTTTAAATATATATATATATATATATATATATATATATATATATATATATATATATATATATATATATATATATATATATATATATATATATATATATATATATATAAGTCGATACATTTATCTTATATATGTTGAGAGAGGAGGAGATATAGGAACGGATGAGAATAAAGAACATTCCAATCATTACGACATGATCGACTGAATGTCATACGAAAGCGTGTGTGCATCTATTTGTGTGTTTGTGTGATCGACTTGTCTGATGTTCTCTTTGTGTTGTTTATGTTTTGAAGCCGACAACGTATTGCCGAATAAATTGATCGAGTCGTTCTTTTCATTCACGTGAAAATTTTAGTTTGAACACAGCCTTGAACTGTTCAAACTGTTTGTTCAGCAATTTCTGGATGGAGGCGCCATTGTTGCAATATTGAAATGGATGCATTTGATTGCTTCTCTGATAATCTGAAAAAGGAAGGCATCATCTTTTTTTTTTTCTTTTTAGTGGCATGGATTCTGCATACACAACGGATATATTACGGCACACAAATAGTAATTTTAAGGTGAATAACCCTGAAATGGTAGGGTGCAGTCAATAGGGCGTATAACAGAATATACTATCTCTTAGTGCACTGGGCAGGTGCTGTCTGGGTGAAGGGTATTGGGTCACTGGAATTTAATTAATTGTTATTTTGGGGATATGGAGCATGGGAAATATTTACTGTAAGTCCATCAGTTTTATGTCTACATCAGGGGAGTGGGATCTAAGATCAATTACCAATAGTTTGTAAATTGAAAATTATTTAAATGCTAAGAAAATGTTTGAATAAGTGAATATATAGAGTAGATACTGGTAATCGATTTTTTAAAGAAATGTATTTAAAAAGTACCACAGCTCACAATGAACTGAGTAATATGTTGAGAGGTCAATGAAGTTGCCTCAATGCCCCTCTGTTTTAGACTAAAGAGGTGAAGCAGTACCACATGAGTATATTTTTTTCTTTCTTTCTTTCTTTCTTTCTTTCTTTCTTTCTTTCTTTCTTTCTTTCTTTCTATCTATCTAATTGTGTCTGGATGACAGGATCTATCTATCTATCTATCTATCTATCTATCTATCTATCTGGTTATTTGTTGGTCATTTAAAATTTATCTCTATATAGCTTTTAGTCTACATTCTTATACATGCCATACATTTATGTATTTCTGTGTATATATATATATATATATATATATATATATATATATATATATATGTGTGTGTGTGTGTGTGTGTGTGTGTGTGAATTATACAGCGAAAATGCAAAAACGATCTCACGTGGATATAGTCTATTTCAAACGGGCGCAAACTTCTGCCAGTCCACCTCAGAATCTCGGAATCCGAGACGAACTCAGTCCAGGGCCGAGGAGGACTGGCACAAGGTTTTGCTGGTTTGAAATATACTATATTCACATTTGCTAAATTTGTATTTTTTGCTGTATAATATATATGCTCTGTTATAATAAACATATTGAACTCTCTTTTTGGATCAGATTTAATATCTGATGTTACTAGGACGCACCTAGATTATATACCAACAGACATATTACCTGCAATATATATATATATATATATATATATATATATATATATATATATATCAAAGGAAAATTTGATTTTCCAACAAGTATTTATAAACAAAAGTAAAAATATTGTTAGTTTTTCAAAATAAAATCCTCACATTTGCCTTGATAAATTTCGTGAGAGAACAAAAGGCGTCGGCTAAGATATGTTTACTTTTTGTCTATATATATATATATATATATATAAAATGGTCAGTGAAGTTAACAGCCAGAGGCGACAGTCTGTTTCATGCTAAACGTAATCGCCAGGCAGTAAAAATTTATAAACAAAAGTAAAAATGTTAGGATGTCCTGATAATTGCATTTAGCATGAAACAGAATGTTGACTCTGGGTGATGATTTCAATGTCCACTTTTATATTGACATATGCTATATCCCTGATATTGAACTCTTTAATAGATAAATATAGCATGTCTTAAAACTATATTTTATCATATATATATATATATATATATATATATATATGTGTGTGTGTGTGTGTGTGTGTGTGTACAGTAAAAACCCTCATATTCGAAATCCCTCATATCCGGACATGATTTGGGTGCTATGTAAGTGATTTGAAATTTCTGTTTTTCAGGAAATTTAATTTGGATAATTGCTTTTTTCACCCTAACGGCTTGTATTCGTTTGGAATTATCGCAAAAAGTGGAAATTTTAAACAGTCCATTCTCTATAATATAAAATAAGCTGTATAAGGTCTTTCTTCAGGTATGGAAATTATTGTAAGCTTATAATTTAAGAAAAAAAAAACAAGGATCATAACATTCAACCAGTGATTGACAGGCCAATGCATCTTTAAAATTTTGTTAGTGAAGGGATTTTGCCATTTTATATCATAAACTTTACTAATTTACTTTTTGTATGAATGATTCATTGTTTTATAAATTGAACTCCACTACATATCTGATATATATATATATATATATATATATATATATATATATATATATATATATTAAGTACATTAAAATAACATACTAACAAAGAAAATTTTACTACTAGGTCCATAATACCTGACTTCATGTACATTTCCAAGCAAAACTTGAAATCCTAGGTTCATTTATAATAATAATAATAATAATAATAATAATAATAATAATAAAGTGCCTCCTTATTGATATGGCAGTCCCTGCTGACTGCAATGTATCTTTGAAGATATTCAAAAAGTTGTCAAAATACAAGGACCTTGAAATAGAAATCTCGAAAATGTGGCATATGGGAACATCAACAATCCCTGTTGTAATTGGAACCCAAGGGCTGGTTGGAAAAGATTGCAGTAGACTAATTGAAGGGATTCCTGGAAGTCCATGACTCAAGGAGATACAAAACATTGTTCTGACAAGTACAGACCATACTTTACGAAGGGCTTTATCTATGTAATTTTTTTTTTGTCTGTGGAGAGTGTCATGATGCCATTTCTAACCTTAGATCCCTGGGCGGGACCCGGAAAGAGATGTGTAAACGCCAGAAATCAAATAATAATAATAATAATAATAATAATAATAAAGTGAATAAGATATCCTTTAGTTCAGAAAATGTGGGTTTTGAAGATTTCCAAAAATGAAAAAAATCTTTTTTTCAAATCTATGTTACAGTGCTGAAGATACCGACTCTATCATCAATGGCCTTATTTTAATTCTCCAATGACACCTGAAGCAAAATTCTTAAACTATTACCTTATATACGTGTGTAGAGGCGCTTCGGTGTGGTCTAATCATTAACAGTCTTGCTTTCTCAATTACGACTGGTTAGTGGGTTCGTTTCTCACCGGGTGCTTCAAACATTCGGTCTTGTGCCACATGTAAGCTACCCTTAGAAAAACTTCAAGGCGGTTTAAAGGTTAGCTATCTTATCTCGCTCGATCGATTACAACACTGAATTGGTGTTCCTTAATCTCGACCTAGTGCCTCAAGTAGTCTATGCTGAGTAAATCGCTATACCCGTGTATTAGTCGACATCATGTATAGGGTGACTCCTGAATTTATCTGAATTTTCAAAACAATTTTTCCTCTGTATAACACGCCTCCCTATTTTTCGCATAAAAATAACTGATAATAAAAGCTCGTCTTATACTCGAGTCTATACGGTAAGATCTCTAACCCTAACCCTAAATGAAACATCAGTCTAAATCTCATCATTTCTTGACAAATAACACCAACAGGATGATCAGATCATAGTTCGTCAGGATGATCAGATCATAGTTCGTCAGGATGATCAGATCATAGTTCGTCAGGATGATCAGATCATAGTCGAAAGTGCGAGAACCGATGATGGATATTTTCTGCAATTTCATGTCAACAAAACTTTGTCTTATGGGGAAAAATGGATTTTACAGATCGCGACTGCTATTAGAAAGATGTGATTAAATATACTTTAATGTTTAAAAAAATATTCACTATTATTATTGTTTAGGTAATAAGCATTATAACATAGCCCAAATAGCTATATTGTGGAATAAGGAATTTTTGACAATATACGCATTTATGTTTATTTTTAACTTTTATCAAAAACCACATTCTTGTACATATCAGTCAGTTATGTGCCATGCGAGATACGCGCGTAGGCGACCATCTACCTTTCGATACATGTCTGACGAGGCAGATTTTTCCCGCAGTAGGTTGCCATTTCGTTCTGCAGTAGACTAGTTGCCATCCAAGGCTATAGAACCCAGTCTGTCATGCTATTTACCTATAGCTGGGTGGGGAGAAAAAGAGGATTCAGACCTTTCCCAAGGATATTAGCATGTAAGTGAAGATAATGGATTCGACTGGAATTCGAAATCGGGTCTCCGATTCCTCAATCCGAGCCGCTATCTATTACTTCACCGTACATGTAGTTATGGATAATATTATACATTAATTACTAATTGTTTTAATTAATAACCATTTGTGCTCAGTTGTGGACATTAATAACTATATGATGATGTGTTAAAATTTTGGAATAATGCAATAATAAAAATTTAAATTTCATCTCTTTGATAGATGTCACGATCTATAATTAAGTATTGTCAATCATATTTAATATGATAAATATATAAAACATATATATATAACCGTCTCTATAAATGTTTGTATGTATGTATGTATCTATCTATCCCACTTTGATCATATCTCTCTCTCTTTATCTCTGTCTTTCATATTGTTTATATCTCTTTAGTTGTACGTGTATATTACAATCGATCTGTCCTCCTCTTTTTTGATGACCTTGAATCTCAGCGACCCCTCTTCATCTCCATTTCAAAGCATGCTAACCCTTTCCTGAGAACATTTTCCGTTGTCCCTTCAATTCCACGCAATGTTCTTCTAATCTCTTTTATATTAACGCCCCCACTTTAAATCACGTTGATGCACAGGAAAATAAGATGGCGGATGAGGTTTGTGAATTTCAAAGGAAAAGGAGAAAGCTTTAATCTCTTCTTCTTCTTTGTCTTCTTCTATATGCCCTGTCCCTTCAGGGTGTGAGCGATCATGTTTCTCTATGTACCTCTCAGCAATGTTTGTCATTTTTTCTATCTCTCCTAATCTCTATGCTGTCTACTATTTACACAAGTTTGTTAGGAAGTTTATTAGCAGCCGTACCTTCAACATATCCCCTATGAGGGTTAAATTTACAGTCCTTCATATGTCCGAGAAGTGTCAGTTGTCTCTTTAAGATTATAAATTGTCCTTTCTGTTTTCATTTTCTCTAAAATTTTGTTGTTGCTCACATGTTCAGTCCGTCGAATTCTCAGTATCATTCTGTAGAACCACATTTCTGTTGCTTGAAGTCTCTATGAGAAAATTGCTCCGACTTCACTGCCAGATAGGAAGACCGATATAATATAATAGTCCAGTACTATTCCATTTTTTTATAACGAAATTTTCCCATTTCTTAATACTTTGCTTAGCTTTTGGAAGGCATCTTTCTCGGTTCCAATGCGCCTTCGGATTTCAGTGCCGCATTTTCCATCCTCTGTCAAAAGACTTTCTAGATATTTAAATTTTTGTACATGCCTGATTTTGGAGTCTCTAATTTTATTTCCAATTCTACTACCTATGAATGAAAAATAATCTTATAATTATTGCTTGTCCCACCCTTAATTTCTTACTTAGCACGTATTTAGATTAAGAGCTGACAATCATAAATAATAGATTGCGTTTTGATCGCGTGGAAAAAACGGAAAAGACATATCAGAAACGCTGCTCGTTGAACACCTGTTTCTGTGAAATTAAAAAAAGTTGTCAATTTTAAATCTTTTCATTTGTGCCACCTTATTTCTTAAATTAACTACCAGCATTCATATATATGATTGTTAATGCAATATTTTGTTAAAGTTGTTAATCTCAAATATTTAACGATGCAACAGGGTAATTTCTACGGATATTTTATTGTTGTAGAACTCGCCGGAAACGGATGAGCAATAACCGAGCAGTACTATATAAAAATAAAAACTAGACGGTATCTCTATACACAAGCAGTAGACAGTAGAACAGTTGTTCGTTTTGCTGAAAAGCACAAGTTATG